GCAGTCCCAGGGTGTTCAGACGTTGACCACCACACATCCCTCTGTTAATAATAAGCATCTTAGAACTTAACTCGTTTGTGTATTATTTACGAGCTTGTAATGTCTCTGAATATGTGTTCCGAACCTGACACTATTCAAATTTCTAATCATATGAATACCACACACACGTGTGATCCTTGCAAGAATGCAAAGTTGTGTTTGTCGTTAGGCTAATAAAGTGGTAACCTAGTAATCCTCTTTTATAATTTAATGTAGGCCCTTTATAACAACTGGAGTTTTCTTAAAGCATGACATCGCAGTAATATTTTGATATATTAATCATCGAGTTCTTTGAAATCAGCAATATTTTGAATGAGTTTGTATTGATCGCTTTGGTTTTGACACTAAAAATCAAAGTTAAAAATCAGAAAAAGCCATTTCATTGCAATGATGAAGTTATAACATAGTCGAAACAATACTCTTTTTATTAAAGTTTTTTTGGCAAAGTGAATTGAAACTAGGAATCCACAAAATCATAAGCAGACATTTGCAAGCGAAACAAGATCTTTATGAACTTTGATTAGTCTAATTTATTAAAAGAAGTGACTTAAATAATAAATTTTACAGTTTCACTATTGAAAATGAGGGTGATTCTCTCTATGTAAGTAATATCGAGATTTCTTTTTCTACTGTGAGATTGAAAGGTATGATTGTCTCAGAACTTAAAGACCGTTTGACATCAAAGCTGCCGATCTGTCGGACTGCGTGGAAATTTTGAAATTTTCATCTGGTCTGATCCTTTTGGTCTGATAACGCTTCCGTATAGGATTCAATCCATATAAGGAACGCATACTCTTATAGTTATTTCAAAGATAAAACAAAACTTGAATTATCTGAAAGAATGCGGAAACTTCGGATTTCGTCTGAGAGTCAAGTGTACTGCAGAACAGAGTTGTAACTGGTAACGGCAACCAGCAGGTTCGGCCCGGTCGAAACAGATATTTTTCAACCGGCCCGGTGCAGATTTTCTCTAATTTTTATTGTTTTTTTTGTAAAAATACTGCAAAATATAGTTTTTTTAATAAAAATACAGAAAAACATATTTTTTTTTAGAAAATTAGAAGTCAAATTTCCTATTTAGTATTAGTTTAATGAACGGTTTCCCCGTCAGGATAGAAGGTCCTCCCATATGAAGAGGCCTCCGAAATAATAGACTCCTCTGGAGAAACAATCGGAAAAAATCGCCCTATACCGGTACGGGGATTTTTTCACAGAAAAGTGCGAAGTGTGAAACAGCAAGGCAAGGCCCCCGGCTCTTTTACTATGGAGAGGGGCGGGCGGGTTTGGTTAAAAAGAAAGCTTTTAATTATATCAATGTGGCTTTGCATAGCAAAACATTTCTACCACTGTTCTCAGCAAATTTTAACAGACAACTGGTACCTATATTGATAGGAAACATAACCAACTGCCATCACAATGATTGTCCGTTTCTCAAACTCTATATACTTTTCTTTGATGTCGACAGAACGTCTGGCGACATCAAAGAAGGGTGTGCATGTGGACGTCGGTTTTATTTTTATTATTGCACTAACACCCACTCCCACACCCTTACCTATATATTTAATAATAAGCTCGTAAAAAATTATGCCGGTCGACCGGCCGGTAAACCGGTCTGGCCGATTCCTACCGGTACCGGCACCGGTAAGAAAAAAACCTGACCGGTTACAACTCTGATGTAAAGTGTCAGGCATAGAAAATATTTACCTGCAATCAATGTGTTTAATGAAAATAATTTCGGATGAATAATCGAAACACGATATACAGTCGAAGATTTTGAACAGTTTCTAACATTGAGTTGATATGTAACGCATATTATCGATATTTCACATTTTGTCTTAAATAAAAACGCATCATCACCATATATCATTGAGAGAAAATAACGATATAATCGAAAAAGGTAAAGTTTATCGAAGCATAACTACATAACGAGCAAGAAAAAGCACATGTATATGTTTATTGTCCTTCTTATATTATAATGAACTAGGTAAAAAAGTACGTTACTATATAACGATTTGATTGGCCGCTCAATCTTTCCGTTTATTTTTCTAAAAAGTATAATTCTTGGACCAAGGCTCCAACTATGATAGAATTAATCTCGGATGTTATGAGATATTTGCTTATTTTTTTAAATTATTCTATGTAGATGTCGTTCATAGCAAGCGATCATAATTTTTATTTTCATTACATTTTCTCATTGTCATATATAGTTTGATTATAACATTACCAAAGAAATGAACAAATGATGTGAAGATTTGAGAAAATGGTTAATAATATAAAAAGAAACCTAAATAATTTTGTTAGTATTCCTATCAAGTATAGTAATATCGTTTTTTAATGTTTATCATCGAAGTGATATTATACATTTGATACCAATTTATATTCGAATTTGAATCGGGCATCTCATAAAAGAAATAATGTTTTTTAGTTAAAAAGGTAATTTGCGTATACTAAGCATTCCATTATCGATTTATATCTGAATGAGATGTGTCTCTTTACTGAAGAATTATTTTTGAAATAGCAACCGACAAAATATTTCCACTGGAAATCACAATATGAATTATGGTAGATAATCATCATATTAAAATGAATCAATTTTATCTGCAGTAAGATATCAAATACTTTGCTTTGTATCATCTCTATTAGACAGCTTTTATATTCATCAATGGATTTGAATACATTATTTATGCTGAATAGACCAAATCAAATATTAACCAACAAAACATAATGGTAAGTCAATATCTTTCATTTTAACGGATGCACTAGGTAAAATGGACCTTTCAGTATTTTTCAAATATCTCTCTAACGTTTTTATGTATACTTTTAATTTCTTTTGAGAAAGATAGTTCGTAGAATACTTTACAATCTCTCACTGTGTGATGAGATTTGATAAATATTGTGATGATATAAATGGTCCACTTTCGAAGCATTATCTGTCATACTAATGATCGTGGTCTATTTACAATATCACACTAATCGACATTCTTGTCCTCTTCTTTCCAGGTTCTTGTTTTTCTTGCTTTTCAAGCAAGATTCTTTTTCTATTCCTTACACGCAAGATTCTTGCCTGATTCTTATCCTTCTTGATTTTCTTGCCTGTGTCTGATTTCTTAGGCTTCTTGCCTGATTCTGATCATATCAAAAAAGCCTTTTTTAGGTTATTACTACCTTTTTTATATCGTTTTATTATAAGCATTTCACACCATGTACAAAAAAAATATGAAAGAACAAAAAAATACTTTAATTTTCACATATTCATGAAGTAGTTTTAATTTTTAACACAAAAAAAATTAAAAAAAATTTTTTATTATTTATTTTCTTAAAATTTTACCTATACGAAGAGGATTATCAAACAATAATTTTTTAAATAAATCCATATTTTCTTCGTCCATCATATGTAATACTTTTATCGATAGTGAAAAATGTAGAAAAAAAATATATATAGATATGAATTAGAAAAATATCAAAATATGTTCAATAAGGATTGCTTCAGTAAACAATGAGAAAATGGATATCATATATTCCATTGTTTTCTTGATATGAAATAAACTTTTACTATACAGCTAATTAAAACAATAACTTACTAGATGTCGTTTGAATTAAATAAACGCTTCAGAAAAAGAAAATAATCTAAGTAAGTTTGCAGTATAATTATCGAGCCAATAATAATTATGAATAAATAACGGTCAGCTAATGCTTTTATATATGTGATAAACAAAGACCACATCACGTGCCGTTCGTCTTGGAAAGCTGGCAAGAATCTGTTTCCTTTTCTATTACAAGAATCTTGTCTGAATATTAAGAAACTTAAAATATCTTGTGTTTCTTTTCAGATTCTTTTTGTCTTGAACTTTAGTCAAGATTCTTTTTAAAGGGAAGAAAAAGATTCTTGTCTGAATATTAAATATATCTTGAATATTTTATAATTCTTGCCTGATTCTTTTATTTCTGATTGTTCAGACAAGATTTTTGTCTACTGGAAATTCTTGTGAGATTCTTTTTAATTTCCTGTCGAAAAGAATCTTGTCTGAAAAGCAAGAACCTGGAAAGAAGAGGACAAGAACGTCGATTAGTGCAGAAACAGAACGCTCGACTAGAACATTTTGTAGCCCATCAAAAGTTGTATTTGTTTTCATTTTTTGACATCATTGAGATATTCTATCATGAATTATCATATTTTATATTTTATTTTAACAAATTCAATAATATACGAGCAAAATTTTGTAAAGTATCTTTTTTTTCAAATATTTGAGATGTTCAAGAAACTATTGATCGTTTCAAGTCTATTTTTAGAAAGAATATATCGAAAAACAACGTAAATAAGTATTAGAAACAATGTTTAATATCTTGTGAAAATAGCCAGAATAATTCATCATACATAAATACTTGAAAAATACTGAGAGACCCATTTTACCTAGTGCAACCGTTATTTCGAATATTCTCTACTAAAATTCGAGATTTTTCTAATTTATTTATTTTTAAAAAAATATTCATAGATATTTGATTACAATAATACAACATAAAAAAAACTATACAAAAGATTGTTTACTAGCTTTCTATTTTACTGTAATAAGATAATATTAACGGTTGATTATTTATTTGATATTGATAAGCATTATTCATAACTTCATCAACTTGTTCAGTATTTGTAAAAGATAAAAATGCATATCTAAATTATAAATAAAATGAAAAATAAAATATGTTAAATAGAAATGTTTACCCAAGTAAAATTTTCTGATTTGTATTTGATTTTTGAACATTTCTTGCTGGAATATATTTTATTTGGTTGGAATTAAAAAATAACTTTTTTAAATCATTTTCAGTAACGTTTTCAGGTATTTTTTTAACCACAATATTCCAATTTTCATTAAATTCATTTTCATTTGAGAGTTGAGAAAGACTTTTAACGAAATCAATTTTACAGTTTGATCCAAACTGTGAAGATTTAATTGCTCGTTTTCGATTATATTCAGCTTGAAGATTTGTACGATGAAATATAAATGCATAATTAAGATATGGTGGTAATTGACTTTGTTTGAAAATAATTTTTGTTGAACTAATAAAATAAGACCGAAGATCATTTTTTGTTATTTGTTTATTTAAACTCGATAAACGTAAGATTTTTTATATCAATTTTACATTGATTAGTTGTTTTTTTTTATAAATTCATTGTAATTTGTTATTCTCTATTCATTAATACTATTTTCAATATAAAAGAATACTTAAGTTGAATAAACTTACAGATAACCTATTATTTTTGAAATAAATTTGTTCATTTTTTGATTGATCATTAGATGATGATGGTATATCAAGAGTATTTAGTATTTGTTCAGAAGTTGAAGACACAGATTGATTAGTATTCATAAAAATATCATTGCGAAAATCTTTTGATGAAAATAATTCATTAAAATCAGTTTCATTATGAATTTGTGTAAATGTCATTGATATATTCGAAGTATCCATTAAAAAATCTTCTCTAAATATTCAATTTATTTCTTTGCATCAATCTTTCAAATGGAACTTGCTCATTAATATTATCAAGAAGTGATAAATCTTTATCTAATTTAGAATCTTTATCTAAATAAATAAAGAAATTTTTATCTAAATAAATAAAGAAATTTTTAAAAAAATATACTTAAATAAGAAAGAGAAAATACTTTGATGAATATTGAGATGAAGACATTTTTGAATATATCCTTGAATAGTTTCATCATTATATAAATTCATATCAATTGATTCATCTTTATTTAAATTTGAAAATAATTTACAATGGCATAAAGAAGAATTTTTAGGAAATTGATCAGACAAGCAAGATGATAAAGCAAAATGAATTGATTCACACAGAATTTCATCTTGAATAAAACTTTGTGAAAGAATTCCTCCTGATAAAATAAGAATTTCATTTGGATATTGAATAACTTTCTTATATTTAATATTATATTTACCAAATAATAATGGATCAATTAATATTACATCATGTTCAATACATATTCATGGATTATTTTCTTTAAATATATTTTCAAATTTCTTTCTTTCTTCTAATGAAATAATATACCAATAACGAATACCACTTTCATGATGATAATTTAATTCATAAAGATTTTGTTTATTCGACGATTAAGGAACTATTGCAGCAGGTCCATGTGCTTTGGTTAATATTGATGAATATTTATTACAAAATTTTTTCCAGATAATTTTAAAAGTGATTTAAAAGGTAATTGATGAAAATCAAATTGATTACGTTGAACACGTTTTAAAAACATTGCTTGATCATTAATTATTGAAATACTTGATATATTTTGCGTATTAAATCCATTTGGTAATAATAATCAAAATAATTCATCATCATTTCTTAAATTATTTTCTGTTTTTTCTTTATTTTCATTCAATGAATTTGTTTTTATTGAATAAATTAAATTATCATTGTCAACTTGTTTAGCTTGTTGAATTGTTGAACATAATGGAACATTTATTGGGGTTTGTTTTTTAATAGATTTTTAAAATTTGATGTGAGAATTAATTTTATTGCGCCATTTTCTTTCAGTAATGATTCATTTTTATAAAGATATTTTAATAAATCTTTCATTTCATTATCTTTTATTTCAATTGTTGGAATATCATATGATTGGGTGGACATTTTTTATACAAAATAAAGAGAAAACCAAGCCTTTCTTTTTCTTACTTTCTAACTATCGATAATCGAATGTATTTATTAGAAAATGTTTTTTGTATCTTTTTCTTATTGTATAGATAGAGAACGCAGATAGAAATAGGTTAGCTGTACTTGGTCGTAATACTCAGATGGGTAATAATCCAAACTACGACAGTATCAACAACACATACTGCCGTTTGCAGATGTATACAGACTCCATATTCTTCGTCCTGAGAAGTCGAAATGAAAGCCATGAGATGATTTTATTTGAATAGAGTAAATTAGAATAGTTCAAATAAACATTTTATCAATTTTTTAATAGAAAATCACAAAAAAATTCTAATCAAGATTATTACATTGACAAACGTTCGATTAAAATAAATTCAATAATAAACGAATTTGAAATTCATGAAAATACTATTTTTTTTCTAAAAACACATGTTCAATGTATAATGTTACTCAATTATTTATCTTATTAGCTTTTTATCTATTCATCTGATGACGTCAAAAGATAATTTCGCTTTTTTATATTTTGATCGCGAATATTGGATAAAGTTTTGTTTTTTCTCATATAATAGGCAT